GATTGGATTTGTTGATTATCTCACAGAAATCCAGTATTTTTTAGTAAATTTTATTTGTTGATAACAAATGGGACAAACTCACTGTCAAAATTAAACAAGAATCCAGCATTAAAGAAATTGTAAGTACACACTTATTTATACAAAGTATCTGGTAAGAAAAAAAACTAGATTCAAGAAATTGATCATATCAAAATAAGAATACGGTCTACTATTAAAAGACAAATTTCTGAGAAAAACGATACTTAGATCTGTAACATTATTGACTCTCCCGATTAAAATATTCTCTAAATTATAATTAAATACCATAGACTCAAGAGATCTATAAAACTGGATCACCCGACATTTAAATATATTTACATGGGACCAAATGTGAAAAAACGTCCTTTTTTTATTGTAATATATATTGGAAGTGAATTGAAAAAGTTATTTTATTATTCAAACATAAATAAACGGAGTTAGGTTAAAATTGACGTGTGAGATTGTCCAATATTGATTACTCGATTACCGCAAGGCCGAGATAATCAACAAAAAAAGAAGATGTATTTGGTGACTTTTCTAGTAACTTTCTTGAGTGTGAATCTGTCTTTTTGGTTTACTCCTCCTGGTTAAAAAACAGAGTATAACTGCAGTTTGATAACATAAATGACGTTTATAATTTAGAATTGAAATTCCTGTGTGTATTATTTTATTCATTTTTTCCTGTCCTTATTAGGAAGCCACTGAGAAATATTTGACAGCCACGAGAGATAGTAAGTATTGATAGTGTGATTTAGCCCTGAGATATACAATTTATTTATGTTTAATTTGTTTTGATTAGTTATATAATTACTTGATTAATTAATTAAATTAGATTACATCCACAATCATTAATAGAGTTAAAAATAGAGCACAACAATATATATTCTAAAACATCTAAATAGTTTAAGACTTTTACTTAATAATATCTTATATTATTATTTTATTTTCCAGTGTATTCTATATTATTATATCGGATTTTATCAATTTAAAGCTTAACAGCTTAAAGATATCAGAATAAAGCGCGTTTGATCCCAAAAACAATTGACGACCTTAGCGTATCAAATTTTCTTTTCTCCCTAATCGATTTTTGATGGTTACACTGTAACATTTAGACCATAAAGAAAGGGAGAAAAGGGCACTAAAGTACTTTAGACCCTATCTATTTTATTGTCCTTTTTATTAAACGGAAGTATATTTACAATAGAATATGTGAATACCAGATTAGAACTCTAAAAGGGCTTCATCAGATCTTCTGCGAACTCGCATTTTATTCCAAGAGTGATCCTTCGTTCTTAAATAAGGGCGGCGAACAAGAAACGAACGTAACTTGTAGTCTCGACTCAGGCGGGCCCGAATTTCTTGAAATAAATCCGTTTAATGTTATAAAGAGAAGGATAACAGTGCGAGGAGGAGAATGGAACGGATTTCTTACTGTTTAGGATTTTTTTTGTTATTTTTCGTTGTCCCTTTTTGATATAAATATATACCAACATCAACTTAAAGCATATTTATATGGAAATAAATCAAATGCCACTTTGAACTCAAGATCAAAATATGGAATTACAATTATGTGCTTATCAGAAATGACAAATTCAATATATCACACAGTCACGTTTGTTTTACATTTCATCTGTAATTTATATCTAGATTTTAAAGATTCTTCTCTGGCTTTACTTTTGCTGGTTAATTTTTGCTTATTACATGATTTAATGCTCTATATGTAAGCTTTTATTAACACCTTGGCGACGACGTGTACCACCGGTGGTACATGCTGTATATTATTTGTAGCCGTCGTGTACCACCGGTGGTACATGGTAATATATTGAGTTAACGTGATATAAAATCAACCAGATTTAAGTGAAGCTTTCAATATTCAGTCCTCGGCTATATAAAAGGTATAAGTACATCAGTGTACCACCGGTGGCGCACTCGGTTATTATTATGATTAGAACATGACAATAAAGAGCGGACACCAAAAATAATAATTATTTTTATTTTCCAATTTAAAAATATTAAAATTAAAATAATTCTGAACAAAAATAAAAACTTTAGCTTACTAACTAATATGACAACAAATATTGAAAATCAAAAAACTTATTATTCTTATATTTCTTAAAACTAATTATATGAAAATTAAAACAAAAGCGAAAAAAATTAACATGAATTACGTTTATGTTTTTCATTAAAGCATTCTAAACATAATACAGGTTTGTTTGGACAATCCTGACAGAAAGTATTTACACGTTTAGTTTTTTTTCTCGCATGAGCACTACCAGCAGCTTCCTGCAATTTCTCGTAACAAGAGACACACCTTTTGCGGTTGTCACGCACTTTTCCTTCGTATTTTGCCAGCTTATGAATAGTCATACTGCTACGAGACTTTGTTCGTGTGGGTTCCACTGCTTCCATAGTTTCAGAAATGCCCGACAATAACTCACGTGCAATTAGTTCTCTAAATTCCAACATGTGAAGTTTTTTGTTTGGGTTTGAATCATTGAAAATGATCCATGCGTTCACCATAGCTGTGCCCAAAACAACTTCCACAAATACTTTTTTATACCATTTTAGGCTTTTTCTCAAACAGGTATAATACGCAGACATTTGATCTGATATATCTACCCCCTTTTTAGCTTTGTTGTAAGCAATCACAGCAGGAGGTTTGAGAATGTCCTCTCCTCTTCGATTTTGCTTTCCAGTAGCCTGTAGATCACAGATGTGGCTTGGAACAGTGCTTATCATTAAAACGGCACGTTTGTCTACCCACTTTACGACACGTACGCCGTTATGATTTTGTTCGCCGTAAATCTCTCCTTTTCGTAATTTTTTTTGAGTAACTGATTTTGGAACTCCTCGTTTATTTGATCTTAACGTGCCGCACACGTACGTTTTAGCTTCTAGAAGAGACCTACAAAGCTGAACGCTAGTATAGAAGTTATCTATATATAACGTTCGGCCCTCATTCAGTAATCCTTGCAGTAAGTCCATACAGATGTCATAAGTGTGTCCATAAGATGTAATGGGTGGATTCGGATTATTTTTCCCTGCATATATTCTAAGGTCATAAGTGTAGCCCTCTGTTGTGCAAATTTTGTAAAGTTTTATTCCGTATTTGTGGGATTTAGCAGGCAAATACTGTCGAAAGGCTAGTCGGCCTCTCCAAGGCACCATCGACTCATCTATTACAATTTGTTCGCCAGGAGAAACTGTCTTTTTAAATTGATTACAGATGAGATCAACAATATTTTTTACTTTGCCCAATCGATCACTACTGACAGCAGGATTTTCATTATTCGCAAAGTGTAAAAATTTCAACAGTGTATCGAATCGGTCACGTGTCATAGTTTGTTGAATAAGTTTGTTACCAAACATTTCACTGCTACTCCAGTATAAGCGCATTTTGGGTAAATGATTTATGCCCATAATTATAATTATGCCGATGAGTTTTTTTATTTCATTACGATTTGTTTCTTTCCATTTCCGGTACATTGAACGGGGGCGCAGTACATGGGATCTCAAATATTGCTCCGCAAAACGATTTGTCTCTGAAACAATCACATCAAGTACTTCATCTGTTACAAACTGTCTGAAAATGTCAAATGGTTTCGCCAAGTTTATAGTGTCTACAATTACACCACTCTGTCCAGAGAACTGAAAACTCACTGGAATGTGTTCACATGCACTCCATGTGTCACTTTCTTTACCACGATTCTGCATAAATATTTCATTATCCGACTGAGCAGTCACTGCATCTACTTCTTCATCAGAGTTTTGGCTAGATGGCTCGACGTCTGATTCCTCTTGGCCACTATCACTGGGAACATAAGATTCTTCTGAATCTGCGAAGGGATCAGATTCTTCCGAAGAGGTAACAGAAACAGCAGCTGATGTTGAAGGATACACTAGTGGCTCTATGTTCTGGGATAATGTTGCTGAAGGTTCAACATTTTCTAGTGACGTAGAAGTAGCGTCTTGAGGATTTTCATGTTTTTCTTCGTTATTTTCTGTGTCGGCGGAGACCAACGCAATTATTTTTTTCCCTCTAGACGACATTTCTACTGGCTAATCTGAAACAAAAAGCTATTTTATAGACACCTTCTTCCGTGTACCACCGGTGGTACACGTCGGCTCCAGTAAATAATTATTCATTACAGCCGTCATGTACCACCGGTGGTACACGTTTCAAATGTAATTTAAATGTAAAAAAACAACATTGTTAAAAGTTAATACAATTTTTTTTTGTAATTTAAATCCAGTTACACTTAAAATAAATGAAAAGTTGCTCTCGGCTCTGACTAATGACAGCGTTTTGAGGTGCCGTCGTCAAGGTGTTAAATAACACAGGTTAACAAAAAATAGTACATTGTTTACCGGGTAGGAAAAACTTAACATTCCTGGACGACTGTAAAGATTGCTAAGTCGAGGCGCAAGCCGAGACTTAGCAACACAGAGTCCAGGAATGTGGCTTTTCCTACGAGGTAAACATACTATTTTTCCGCAAATCGTTTAAAATTCGACAGATATTGATTGATTTAAAAAAAACGCGATAATTTTATTCCCAAATAAATGGTGCTTTGAAATTCCTAATAAAATTACTTGGGTTACTATGGAAACGTATTGAGGTTAAATTGTCAAACTTGACAATTTATGTAGAACACTAACAACTGTACGGAAATATCATTTCCTTACAGTAAGGAAATGACATTTCCTTACAGTAAGGAAGTCCTGACTTTTTCTTCAAGAAATTTTGACAGGAATGTTAAAATTTCCTGGCGATTTGCAGAAAAAATATTTTTTTAAATTGTTTGGAATTTCATAACTGATTTTTATCAGTTTATTCTATCACGTAAGGTTTCCTCGCAAAAAAGGAATTACTTTTTGGTATAATAACAAAATTTTAGCAATTTTTCATTTTTTTTTCTTAAGTTAAAGGATTTTATTTCATGTATAATACATGTTATAAACTATATATCTAGTACACTTACATTTCTCTTTAAGCTCATGTTCTTATAGTAACGCTTTTGCTTTCCGTCGAAGCTTCTTTTATTGCTTTTCCGGCTATGTACTCGTTGAGGGTCATCTCGTTTTAGCATCCAGCAGTAGTCCGCTATCATGTTGACGTTCCATCTTCCTTGATACCTTCTTTCCATTTCCTTGATATCTTGGTGGAATCTTTCACCCTGCTCTTCACTTACATCACCAAGATTTGCAGGGAAGTAGTCTAGATGTGAATGGAGGTAATGAACTTTAATGATCATGTTACATCCCAGCTTCTTAAAGTTGTCAAGCATGTCTGCGACGATTGTCTTGTAGTTAGGATTTTTTTTGTTTCCTAGGAAACCGGTAACAACTAGTTTTAAAGATGTCCATGCTGCTTTTTCGTTTGTTTCCATTTTGTCCATAAAATTAGGATCTCTCATCAGTTTTCTAATGTCTGGTTCCCTGGAACGATACCAAGAAAAGGACGTACCCAGAGCCAACATATTTTTATCTTTTAATCTAGACCCTAAAAGTTCTGTCGAGTCTTTAGGAAGATCTAGGTCTCTAACTAAATCATTTAGTTCAGATTGTGAGAATGGAATGGGATCGGTTGTGCCAGGATCGTAGCCATCACTGTCTTCTTCACTTTCACCTAGCTGAGCCAATGGCTCGTGGTCATCTAAAATACCATTCAAAGAAACTGGAGGAGAGGGTATTGGTACTTCAGGTCCATGAGGAACAGGGCGAATGGCTTATTTGATGTTAGGGTAAGAAATATCCTTTTGGTTTTTCAAATTGAAACCTTGAACATTGCAAGAACAAAAATAGCAGTCATCGCTATGGTTTTTGGGCTTCCTCCAAACCATTGGTATTCCAAAACGAAATGACTGCTTTTTACCTTAAAACCATTGTCTCAGTTCTTCAACACACACTGAACAAACTTTGTCTGGGGCTCAAGACTTGTCTTGATCACCCAACTTTATACCAAAATAGGCAAAATATACCTAATTGCTTGCAACATACAAAATCGGAAATGTTTCTTTGTTGCTTTTTAACTGTATAGTTACCACAAATGTAGCAGAAGCAATCTGGTGAGTTGATACATCCTCTGGTAGCCATTTTTCATAAAACAACTTTACACCACAAGAAAACAATCTGTGTAGGCTGATGCCTTGAATTTATGTTCTTTGTAGTTCGATAAAAAATCACTGAAAGGTATTTGATTTACACTTTATTGCCAACTATCCGTGTGTCACGAGATATCATTTAATACTACTCTCACAATCACTAGTAACCACAGCACGTGAACAGCACAGAGTGAAGAGATACTGTGAACTGAAGAACAGGTAGCAGAAGCTCACTGCTTGGTGATGGAGAGGGGGATGGGCACTATGGCAGACAGGCACTAACATAAAAGATGCTCAGTGAGTCAGTAAGTGGATGGCGAGGGAGGGGAGGCAATGGACAAGTACCGACATGAAAATAATGCTGGTTTCTCCTAATCAACTCTTTATTTTACATACAACTTGTATAGTAAAAAAAAGCTAAGTAACTGAAAATACCTTAAAGTATTTTTTATACTTATTAAAAGTACTATGGGCTTAATAAACAGTTCATAAAGATCCAAAAAAACAGAAATTCAAACTCACTAGAGTACGGAACTATGTATAAAAATATCTAAAAAAAGCTAAAAATAGACAAGCAGTTTGTGGAATAACTGTACGTGATGGAATGTTTTCACTATTTTTCCCAAAATTAGCGTTGAAAATACTATAAAAATCACTTATTCAATTTTAAACAATTTTTATGTCGCAGACTTGTGTAATTATTAATATAAATATACTGTCCATTCTTCTTCTTTTTGTGCCACTCCTATCGGAGATTGGAAATCATCAAGGCTATTCTGACCTTGTTTACGGCTGACCTAAAAAGTTCATTAGTGGTGCAGCCAAACCACTCTCTCAAATTCCGCAACCATGACATTCTTCTACTGCCTGGATTCCGTTTTCCTTCTATTTTTCCCTGCATTATATTTTGAAGTAATGCGTATTTATGTCCTCTCATCAGGTGACCAAAATATTCGAGTTTTCTTCGCTTTAGCGTTAACAAAATCTCTGGGTCTTTTCCTGTTCTTCGTATTACTTCACAGTTTGTTATTCTTTCAACCCAACTAATCTTCAGCATTCGACGGTAGCATCACATCTCGAAACTTTTAAAACTTTCAATCAATACTGTCAATACTGTCAAAACTTTCAATAATGTCCATAAGGTAGATTTATTTAGTTAAAGCAGTTTTGATAATAGCCTTTTATTCACTTAGAATATTCTAATAATATATTATAGGTATTCTACTTTTATCCAAGCATATTGTCTCATTTCTTTTTTGTGCCATTTTTGCTTATATGCCATAAGCGTTTCTTCTGTCGAGCTAACTATTCAATTTTTAAATTTTGCTAATGTGAGTATTAATAAATCAACAATATAACAATATATTATTCAGGAAGTCTAAACAACATTGATGAAGCTGTAATAAATTTCACTCCATACTGGAACAGAATTATACTCTTACAATTAAACACCCCAAATAAACAGCCTACAAGTTTATGCTCCAATTGCGGACAAACCAGAGAGCAAACTTTCTTCTTCTTCTTCTAGTTCCATAACCATTATCGATCGTTGGATATCATGTTGGCTACCATACTATCGCTATCGTGACTTTATTGACAGCAGCTCTAAATAATTATGTAGTTGATTTTCCATACCATTGCCTTAGATTTTTCAGCCATGATGTTCGTCTTTTACCAGGACCACGATTACCTTGGATTTTTCCCTGAATAATCAGATGTAAAGGATCATATTTTTCAGGGTGTCTCATAATGTGACCAAAGTATTCCAGCTTGCGTTTGTTTATTATATTGACCAGCTGTCGACCCAGCTTATTTTCAGTAGTCGTTTGTATACCCACATCTCAAAGACGTTTAAGGATAGCCTCAGTTAGAGTCCACGCTTTCACTCCATACAGCAGGATAGGAAAAATATAGCAAGATGTCATTCGAACTTTAAGTTTAATGCTTAGATTGTGACCGCAAAGTACGTTTCTCATTTTTACAAAGGCAGCTCGGGCTTGTTCTATTTGGCTTGTAATTTCTGCGATTGGATCCCAGCTCTCATTGATATTATTGCCGAGTTACACGAGTTTCTCTACTCTATCCAGTGTGGCATCTCCGACTTTTATAGCGTCATCCTGTATATAATTTTGTTTGTCTTAGGGGTGAAAACTATCACTAATTGTCAAAAATTATAAAATAACATATTAAACCTGAATATGGGTAAAATTTGGTTTGAATTAATTAAATAATGATAGTTTCGTGCTTTTGAATAAAGTTCCATCATATTTCAACCCTTAAAAAGCGACCCTTGTTAGAGATTAATGTAAAAAAAGATAGTAATGCGAAGAAAATGATTTCGCCTTGGAACGATTTGCATAAAAATTTGGAATTAAGCTCAACTCACCCTCTGCTTTATAGTTTATGTCATGCCGATGAATCCTGATTGTTCTTAGGGGTGAAAACTACCCCTAATTTTCAAAAATTGTAAAATAACATTACAAATCTTAAGATGAGTGAAATTTGGTTTGGATTAGTTAAATAGTGATTTTTTTATACTTTAAAATACAATTTCATACATTTTCAACCCTTAAAAATCAATTGTTATGAGTGCTATAGGTGAAAACAATTTTTTGCCAAAATTTTGCAACTTTTCAACTTTTGAAAATCACCCTTTACAACATTGCAGTTTTTATAAACTAATTTAATAGATATAAATTGAAAAAAGTAGAATTAAATACAAAAAAAATTTATCAACATAAAAAGGCACCATATATTCTTATACATTTACATAAATAGTTGAAAATATTTACATTTATAGGTAAAACAATTATAATATTAATTTTATTCGTCATCAATTACATCTTCATCGTGATCTATGTCATCCTCATCTTCTTCAATTATTGGTGGACTATTATTGCACCCTTCACCTGAGCACCCAGAACAAGTAGAGTTGCAGTATAAACCAACTTTTCTGCACCCACATGAAACGCCGCATCCTTTTTTGCATTGGCAAAAAATAATTTTCAAAAGTTCATCGGGTGCAGGTTGTTTGTTAATGCGTACGGGTAATAACAAACCATCTTTGAAATACCATCCCCAATCTGTTGCTCTGATATTTTCATTGCCAAGCCATAGACATATGAGCAGATGTTTTATTCTGTTGTATGGGATTTCAAAATAAGAACGCTTAAAATTTCGAATGTATAACGCCCCACTACCTAATATACCGGTTTTGTAGATTATTATGCTCCGAAATGTACTGTACTATACTAATGGAATTTTCCGGAAAAAAATTAATTGGTTTTTTTAACGTATTTCCTTCATTTTTAACGATAGAGTGTTTCTTCAAAAACGATTTTGTAGAGGTTTTTAAGAGCTACAAGAATCTGTGAATTAAATCTTTTTGGAACCCTTGGTTTTTAAATGGGGTGAGTTTAAAGGGCTCGAACAAGATGGTGCTTGATCGTAAATCGATGCTTTAAACGGCTATATCTCGCCAAATATTCATTGTACAACAAATCTAAATAAAGGAAAATTTTAGTCATTAAAAAAGCTACAATTTAGTATATTTTTATTTTTTTCATATATTCAGTATTTTCGGGGATATTTAAAAAAAGAAGGGTAAAAAATATGAAATTGTAAATCGTTTCCCGCTTTAAGCTGTACTTTTTCTAAAACTAAGCATTTTTAATGGGTCAAACTTCTTGGACGTATTAACAATACATGTACAAAGAAAATTGCAGAAGAGTGAAGATCGATTTTAATTATGGGGGTGGTTTGCGGTTGTGTTCATCGATTTTTTCGTAAAAAAATGAGGTATTGACCTTATTTTAATCATAACTCACTCAATTTTTGAGCTAGAGTCTTTTTTATGATAGGTCTATTTATGCTCTTTAAAAAAGGTTTTGTTAGTTTTCTTCCAAAAATGCATCATTTTCCCGATATTTGACTTAGAATCTTTCAAATTTGGTATTTGAAGAAAACCGCTGAACATTGATAGTCCGTATTTCGGTTAATATTATATCGTAAAAACATTTTAAAAAATGAATTGTATTTGTCTTTTTAAAAGCTACAAATTTGTTCTCTACAATTTTTTTGATAAAATGCACCATTTTCGAGTTCTTCGCGAAAAATCGATTAAAAACGTCGATTTTTTCGTCTAAAAGTTGTTACTTTCAATCGCGAATAACTTGAAAAATATCAGTTTTACAAAAAAATGTATAAAACATTTTTTGTTTAGGATCACTTTTTTAATCGAAACTTGTAGTTAAAACGTAAAAAAAAATTCACACCCGAGATGGGGTGGCAACCACCTCCAAGGCTTTAGCGTACATTGGTTTAATATAGATTTTGATCCTTAGGCCACCGAACAACCCGAAGGTGCACTCGACTCG